ATCTCATGTGCTCATTAGGTAGGCATTATCTAAATACACCAGACAGTATATAAATGGAATATATAGAATGGAATGCGCGCGGCTTATCTTCATTAAATGATATGATTAAAATCTGTATTCTGCAGTGTTCTTGCACTTACTCACCCTCTACATGGTCACTACATTCATGGGAGGTCAGTACATGGACGGGCTGACACTGGTATGGTGGAGATGAATGAATTTCTGCAGAAAGAACGTGTGAGTTAAATATATGTAATACTTGTTTACCAAGAGAGGCGTGGAAATGGACAGCAGAACACTTTCTAACGGGAGCAAATACTGCCCCTTCAACTTACATTCGCGAAGTCAGGGGTATTTAACTCACTGACAACTGCGCGGCTCACGAGGGAGCCATTTTGGGACGCATGGGACAGTGCCTACAGCTGGGTCCTTTTTTGGGATGCGTTGATCCCATGCGCCAGGCACTTAGATAATCGTCGTCAATCGGTTAACAAGTCTAATTATTTGTTTAGTGAAGATTGAAAATTTCATTTTATAATTTTATTTTGTACATGAGTGAAATATTCTAGGATGATCTCTGCGGTTTCCGCGGCCTTGAACCAACTTCTCATCTACAAACGTTCACAGTTTGTCTTCCAACGGCATTTCGCACTCGCTATGATGAGATTATGAACTCTGCGAACAATGCGATGACACAAACGAGACTTACAGGACTTGATCAGACTACAGCTAAGGTAAATGTGTTAGCTGGAACTAATAACGTCAGCGCAGCGATTATTGCAATTTAAGCCCATCTAGCCCAAGTAATCTAGGCTAGTTAAGTATTTTCAAGCACTTTTTATTTACGCATCAGCGACGGCAAATAAACGACTTCCGAGAAAATTTGGAATACCGGAGTAAGCAAAAATTAGAAAATCAAGGCTATTAGTCACCAACATCAATCTTTGCTTCTAATTTGCTATCACTAGTGGTATGAACGTCCTACCATATTCTTAGATTATTAACAGAGTGGACTTTTCGATTACGGTAGAGCAAACCATAATTTTCATGCATGTCTCTTTTAGATGGCTGCTACTGTGAGAGCC